CCTAAAGAAATCAATCAGTTGGCAGCTATTGGCAGGACAGATGGAGATTGCTGGCATATAGTTTGTCTGTGTATAATATTCTATTTAGAAACACATTTTGTTGCAGTTCCTTTATATGGAACTTGTTGGTTGAGCAAAGAAAGATGCTGGCTTAGTACCTATATTTTATATTTTCTGTTGTTCTATTAGTATTTTGGCATCTCTCTTGAACATGAACACAAAGCATTGAACTGGCTAGCTATGGCTTTCTCATGCTACAGCTAACATCCAACTTTACTCTGCTTATCAGGGTTAGCCCAAAACATTTTGCTGTTTGAAATAGAGCAGCAAATGCATCCCTTCTTCTCTGATATTAAGCTTTATATACAGCCATTATCAATGATAGTCACTCATAGCTTTGAGCTCCACTCACTTTGTCTAATTGCCTTTTAAATATGGTGCCCATTGCTACATCTTGTGTCATCAGATTCCATACTTTGACTTTTGGCTAACTTTAGATTCGGTTTGGTTATTTGGGATGCTGATTCAGAAAATGGTATTGGATAGACAACATCACCTCTAGTTTCTGATACAGAACATATGCCATCTAGTAGTCACCATCTGCTCACCCACAGAAAACCATATTTAATAATCTAGGGCCAATGTAATATTTCATGGGAAGTCAGCCTTTCCCCTCATGACATCTCCATTGCCTTGGCACTATAAGAGGGTTTCACGAGATTGGTCGCTCTCACTGCCTTGTGGTTTCGAGGCAACGGTGTAGTAATGGTGAGGCTGCAGACCATATTTTCGTTCTTGTGGACCACTGGTGGTCCACGGACTTTCTTTAATTTTCAGTTCCCAAGCAGGTAATGAAATCAAGACATTTATCAAGCAGATGGTGAGTTCACGATCCATAGCTGATGGGTTGTGTGTTAATTTGTGTGGATCACAAGCTGTGCATCACATATGTTAATAGGCATTCACGAGGCTATACAGGCTAGTATCCAGCTCCCTAAGAGACACACACAGACAGAGATCTAAATGCATTTGTGAGAGAAATGTATGAAAACAGGAGAATCTGATAATAAAGGAGGCAATTTTGATTGAGAAAATGGCAGTCATGTTTTGCCTAACAAAGGAAACTATTGATCTGTACTTAATTTAGATAGTTATCATCAGATTCTCCAGGAAGGAGAATCAAGGCAGGTTTTCTAGTTCAATACAAATGTGAATACAAAGTAATGGTGCTGTTGTAGGTTAGGAACTGTGGTGAAGAAGCAAAGGAAAATATTTCCCATTGTTTGATAGGATTGAAATATCAGCCCTAATGTATTTTCCAAGTGAAATGTGAAGCTGGAATGAGCTCTGAAACTGAATAGGAAGGCAAACAAATAACAAACAATAATTTTGGCCAACGGAGCTATTAAATCCCAGTGCTGCTTTCAGTTCAACCCACACACAGCACTGATCAAGAGAGGATAAAGTTAATTTCAAGCATAATTTTTCACAGAACTTCAGAGTTACTCAGACAGCAACACTGTGCATGAACGATATCTAATGCATTCATTGTCATCTTCATTTGAAGTCTATGCGACCAACACAGAATGTATGCAGAGCTTGTTTGTTGCTTAAGAGAATGTTCTCAGGGTCTGGCACTGTACATCACCATAACTTCTTGCTGATGTCCCTGGACACATAATATTTCAGTTATAGCAATTCCATTATATGTATTGTCGAAGGCTTTCATGGCTGGAATCACTAGGTTCTTGTGGGTTTTTTCGGGCTATAGGGCCATGTTCTAGAGGCATTTCTCCTGACGTTTCGCCTGCATCTATGGCAAGCATCCTCAGAGGTAGTGAGGTCTGTTGGAATTAGGACAATGGGTTTATATATCTGTGGAATGGCTGGGGTGGGGCAAAGAGCTCTTCCCTGCTGGAGCTAGGTGTGAATGTTTCAACTGACCACCTTCATTAGCATTTGAAGGCCTGGCTGAGCCTGGGAAAATCTTTTGTTGAGAGGTGTTAAGATGTGCCTGGTTGTTTCCTCTCTGCTGTTTTGCTGTTGTAATTTTAGAGTTTTTTAAATACTGGTAGCCAGATTTTGTTCATTTTCATGGTCTCTTCCTTTCTGTTGAAATTGTCCACATGTTTGTGGATTTCAATGGCTTCTCTGTGTAGTCTGACATGGTGGTTGTGAGAGTGGTCCAGCATTTCTGTGTTCTCAAATAATATGCTGTGTCCAGGTTGGTTCATCAGGTGCTCTGCTATGGCTGATTTCTCTGGTTGGAGTAGTCTGCAGTGCCTTTCATGTTCCTTGATGCATGTCTGGGCGCTGCGTTTGGTGGTCCCTATGTAGACTTGTCCACAGCTGCATGGTATACGGTAGACTCCTGCAGAGGTGAGAGGATCCCTCTTGTCCTTTGCTGAACGTAGCATTTGTTGGATTTTCTTGGTGGGTTTGTAGATTGTTTGTAAGTTGTGTTTCCTCATCAGCTTCCCTATGCGATCAGTGGTTCCCTTGATGTATGGCAGGAACACTTTTCCTCTGGGTGGATCTTCATCTTTACTCTCGTGGCTTGTTCTTGGTCTTGCAGCTCTTCTGATGTCTGAGGTGGAGTATCCATTGGCCTGTAGAGCCCAGTTGAGGTGGTTCAGTTCATCTTGGAGGAGGTGGGGTTCGCAGATTCTTTTTGCACGGTCTGCCAAGGCTTTAATGGTGCTTCTTTTTTGACTTGGGTGATGGTTGGAGTTTTTATGTAGATCTATCTGTGTGTGTGGGTTTTCTGTAGACGGTGTGACCCAATTGTTGATCTGGTTTGCAGATGACTAGGACATCTAGAAAAGGCAGTCTTCCTTCATTTTCTTTTTCCATAGTGAATTGGATGTTTGGGTGGATGCTGTTAAGATGGTCCAGGAACCTGTTGAGTTCTTCTTCTCCATGGCTCCAAATGGTGAAGGTGTCATCCACATATCTGAACCATATCGTGGGCTTTTTGGTTGCTGTCTCCAGGGCTTGTTTTTCAAAGTGTTCTAGATGTCCTAGTCATCTGCAAGCCAGATCAACAATTGGGTCACAGTAAAGATGAAGATCCACCCAGAGGAAAAGTGTGCCTGCCATACATCAAGGGAACCACTGACCGCATAGGGAAGCTGATGAGGAAACACAACATACAAACAATCTACAAACCCACCAAGAAAATCCAACAGATGCTACGTTCAGCAAAGGACAAGAGGGATCCTCTCACCTCTGCAGGAGTCTACCGTATACCATGCAGCTGTGGACAAGTCTACATAGGGACCACCAAACGCAGTGCCCAAACAAGAATCCAGGAACATGAAAGGCACTGCAGACTACTTCAACCAGAGAAGTCAGCCATAGCAGAGCACCTGATGAACCAGCCTGGACACAGCATATTATTTGAGAACACAGAAATGCTGGACCACACCAACAACCACCATGTCAGACTACACAGAGAAGCCATTGAAATCCATAAGCACGTGGACAATTTCAACAGAAAGGAGGAAACCATGAAAATGAACAAAATCTGGCTACCAGTATTTTAAAAAAACTCTAAAATTCAAGCAGCAAAACAACAGAGAGGAAGTAATCAGGGACACCTAATCACCTCTCAACAAAATATTCCCCCAGGCACTAACAAGCCCTTCAAATGCTAATCAAGGTGGTCAGTTGAAACATTCACACCTAGCTCCAGCAGAGAAGAGCTCTTTGCCCCACCCCAGCCATTCCACAGATATATAAACCCATTGTCCTAATTCCAACAGACCTCACTACCTCTGAGGATGCTTGCCATAGATGCAGGCGAAATGTCAGGAGAAATGCCTCTAGAACATGGCCCTATAGCCCAAAAAACCCACAAGAACCTAATTCTATTATAGCACAAATGGCAGAACTCAGCAAACAATACGGACATGTATTGTCGAAGACTTTCATGGCAGGAATCACTGGGTGGGTGTAGGTTTTTTGGGCTATATGGCCATGTTCTAGACGCATTGTCTCCTGATGTTTCACCTGCATCTATGGCAAGCATCCTCAGAGGTTGTGAGGTCATGAAAATATGTCAACTATTGCCAAAACAGAGATTCTCCAGCTCACTAAACCCATTACTATTTTTTGAATCAGCATCCCAAATAATCCCAGAAACAGGCCTAAAACCCAAAAGACACTAATAATTTTTATTGGACTTTGTAATCATACCTTCTTTCTTTCTCTCCACCACCTTTTAATTTCATTCAACAAAGCAACAAGATTCAGCTTACCTGTAAGTCTCCCTTGAACTATAGCTGAAACAGTATTTCAGATAGTTACTGGCACTGAAGACAAGGTCTGATACAGTAGACTATCCCATGTTACATCAAAAAATAGGATAAGATTATAATAGCAGATACAGTATCAGATGTGAACTCAACTTACCGCTCATAACTAGACATGGGTAAAAAAGCTGTAAAAACTGTTCTAGCTATTTGCCTCTCTCAAGCCTGTGAAGTCACAAAATGAAGTATTGTCAGTTGGTGACATCATAGATCCAGGTAACCTCTGCTTCCTCCACTGTTAAAGAGACGTGTGCATGAAGGTATAGATTCAGATGCTTCAGCGGGCCGTTGAACTGAGGCCAACAGCACTGGCACTATATTCAACAAGGGCTGGCTAAACTGCTTGAGGAGAAGTGGGACCTGGCCTGGTGCTAAGACTGGAAGGATGCAACTTCTATAGAAGGCAGTTGTGCCCACAAAATGCCACGGCCAGTTCTCACAGGCTGCTCACAGTCCCGAGGCCTGAAAGAGAAGGAAGAAGAAGAAGAAACCCAGCCCTGCTACCACCACCACCATCACCACTTATCACCTCCTCCAGCAGACAACTTCAAGAGCCACGTCAGCTCTGGAGACAACCCAGCGAAATACCCAAACAATCCACCTGCATTTCCTTTGAAAGGGCCCAAAAATAAGAACCGTGGTGCGGTGAGACAACACGAAGCCAAAAACAGAAGTAACCGAAGAAAAATGGCCAGGCAGAGCCTTGGTCTTGAAGATGTTTCTCTGTCTCCAGAACCACTGGGCTTGAGCTTAGAATTTCAAGAGCCTTTGTACAAGGAGGAGACTGTTGTTGATCATTTGTTAGAGGTTGACGATGAGGATGATTGGAGAGAAAGGTACGACAAAGCCAGACTGGCCAACATGATCCCGTGTGACCCATATAATTACAACTCTGCTGGCCTTTCAGGGATGGAGGCTTTCTCTTCATGGCCATTCACTGACAATGAGCCATGTATTGGGTGTCCTTCTCATACCAAGATGGCTGCCCGTGAAGAACCTATAGAGGAAATCGAGTACGTGTCTCCACAGCTGAGCTACCAAGAGCTGAAGGAGGAAAATTCCATGTTGAGGAGGAAGATCAAGAGGATCCAGAACTACTCTGAAAGCCAGACACACATGGTAAGAAATCTTGAGAGGACGCTCCAAGCCACTATGAACAAAGAGGAGAAAGAGGCTCAGGATTTGGAAGCATTGGTACAACATGCAGAACAAAGCCTCCAGTGCATGACTCAAAGAGCTCTGAAGGCAGAAAGTGACATGGAGAAGATGAAGCAAGAGATGGCATTACTCCAGGCTGAGCTGACTTGCTACAAAGTGGAGAATGAAAGCCTGAGATCTGGCCAGTCCACCAACATGGGAGCAGTAAAACAGCATGTTGATGTTGCTTTGCAGAACCTCCTCCGGGTCACCAACCATGCCCATGCCACCATCAACCAACTGGTTTTTGGAGCTGAAACACTGAGCCTCGTTGCTGAGCTTCTTAAATCTGTAGGCAGAATGTCAGAACTAGAGAATGAAGATGGAGAAAAGAAACTAACTTAAAGGACCCTCTTGCCTACGAGTGTAATGCTCCTATACTGCTGTTGAGACTTACACCATTTGCTCTCAAAATGCATGGTTTCAAATAAGCAACCTCACTCTCTTTCCCCCAGAAGTACTTTTATTACATAATGGAATATTAATTTGATATACTAATGCCTTGGGTGCTCTATTTCAAAACTACATTGTAAGGGGTCAGCACAGTGTATGGGTCCTGCTGTTCTTCATAGAGCTGGGAATGATATTTGACATTCATTGGGCAATTGGGCCTTGGATGCTTGATTTTTCCCCCTTTATACCTCAGAGGGTGGGAAAGTTACCTTTGAACCTCAGTTCCCAGAATTTCCTAGTCAATGGTTTTGGGAGTTATAATCCAAAAAGTACCTTTCCCAAATTTTGTAGTCTCTTAATGGCATTTCGGAGCACTAATGTACAGCAGACAATTCAAACTGAGGCTATGGCAAAAGGTGTTTGGGACTCCAATGCCCAGATGTCCTGGCCATCTTGTCCAATGCTCAGGAATTCTGGGAGCTGAACTCCAAAACACCTGGGGGGCCAAAGCCCAAACCTATCGTTAGACAGAGTGACAGATATTGGTGGGTAACAGTCACAGCCTTGGTTCTTCCTTGTGAACCCCCTATTGATGAAAATTAAAAGACAGAAATTGGGTTGATATATACAGTTAGTTCTAGGAACACACTCCTAAAACTAGTCTGTTGCCTCAGGTGTAAAGAGGCTACTACTCAAGTGCAAAGAGGCTACTATTCTGTTAACAGCATTCACTTCAACTATCAGTCCAGTCAACCTCTGTATGTGAATTGGGAAAGAGTTCCCATCTTGTCTTTATTTCAGCCAGAAAAAGGCTGGCCATGGTGTAACCTAAGGTTGCTTTCACATGGGACTCCGTGCTTTGTCTAATTGTTGTGAACATTTTAACTGGGGGTCATGGGAGCTTCTGGGAGCCCCATGTTGGAGAAAGCTCTAAATTCTCGTTCCTACTGTTCTATGATGTGCTTTGTTTTGTTGGGTTTCTCTCCCTCTTTCTAGATTCAATTATATATATAGAGGGATTGATGTTTGGGGGGAAAAGAAAGCAAGATCACGTGTTAACTAACAGGGATTGAATAGGAACATAACTGGTGTTGACTAATCCAGAAAGTGATCTTGGGTGCAGACTGGGAAATTTAATGAAAATAACAACTCAGTGTGCAAAAATAGTACATGCCATTCAATATTCAGAATAGTTAGGAATGGGGCTGAAAATAAAATTGCTAATTTTTAAATATTCTTATTGAGATTTTTTTCATGCACTTGGAATATAGCATAAAATAAAGATGTAGTTAAGCAGTTGGACTAAACTTGAAGATCTGGCTCCAAGACTTCATTGGATCATGAGATTTATTCCTTATGATTGGGCCACTCCTTCCCTCTCTTTCAGCTTGATCTAGAATTGTGTGTTAGGTTTAACAGTGAGGACAAGCAAGATTATTGGAGGAATTGTGGGTATATATAAAAAGAATAAGTGAGTGAATAGCATATTTTTCTTCAAAAAATGTTTCTTCCTCGAAGTAACTTTAGAGGGAGTTCAGTGGGTTATCTATTGCAATAATAATAATAATAATTATTATTATTATTATTATTATTATTATTATTATTATTGTTTTATTTTATTTCTTATCCGCCTCTCCTCAAGGCTCGAGGTGGGTTAAAAAACAATTAAAATACATAAACACAGCAAAAACACTACAAATACACATACTAAAATGTACCTCCATAAAAGGCAATACCAAAACATATCTCTATGAAATACATATTAAAACAGACAAAACATAGATTAAACCAGTGGTTCCTAACCTTTTTTTTTAACCAGGGACCACTTGACCAGGGACCAAAAACAGTACCAAAAGGGTTACAAATCCTTTTTTGGTCAACTTTAGATTGGTTATTTGGGGTGCTGATTCAGAAAATTGCATTGGACAGAACACATCAGCAATAGTTTCTGATACAGAACGTATGCCATCCAGTAATCGCCATCTGCTCGCCCACAGAAAACTATATTTAATAATCTAGATCTGATGTGGTAGTAGTAATCTTTCATGGTAGTCAGCCCCTCCCCTCCAGACATTCCGGTTGCCTCGGCACTATAAGAGGGTTTTACGAGGCCAATGGCTTTTGTTGCTGCGTGATTTCGAGATAACGGTGTAGTAATGGTGAGGCCACAGACCATATTTTCGTTCTTGCAGACCACTGGTGGTCCACAGACCACAGGTTGGGAACCACTGGATTAAACAAAGGACGTATATTAGAATTCATGTTTATGTTTAAAGACTATCTGGGTAGGCCTGCAGGAAGAGACAGGTGTTCACTTGTGTCTTAAGTTTTGAAAGCTGATTTATTTGTTGGAACTCTACCAGCAATTTGTCCCACGGGCTTGGGGTGGCTGATGAAAAGGTCCTCTGGGTGGTGGCTGCCAGTCAGGTTCTGGCTGGCTAGAGTAGACACTCAGAAGACTGAAGTGTGTGGACTCGATGGTATGGGAGAAGGTGATTCTTTAGATAGCCTGGACCCAAACCATGTAGAGTTTTAAAGGTCAAAACCCTCACCTTGTACTTTACCCTTGTAATTGGCAGCCAGTGGAATGACTTTAGGATATAGCCAAATTTATTCAAAAAGAGATTTAAAATAGTAAGATATACTTTTAGTTAAGAAGCATACATTCATATGTACTTGACTATTAATTTTGTCATCATGTGTATATTGATATAGGTGACATTAGGACTTTTTGCTTATAATGAGGAGAGGATAATGACAAATGACTTGGTTAATTCCAACACTGAAAGATGTTAAACCAAGAAGTAGCAGGGACATCTTGGAAGAGGGATTGCCCTCTTTGTCTCCAAATGGTTTTTTCTGTGTCAAACACCACATAGGAGCTCATGATCCATCCCAGGAAACTTTGTTTTAAAATCCTCAAATCTTGCAATGGTCAATGTAGAAATCATTAAGCGAAGAAAAGATGAGGAGATGAAGTTATGAGGGAAAGGGAAAGCAAAGTAAAAGAGTTTTAGCGGGTGGGATGGGTAAGAAAGGGATGCAGCATTCCTTCAAAGCTCAAAAAGCCTAATGTTCACTCAAAACTCTGATCTATGGGATGTCAGCCATGTTGTCTTGAAGGCCAATGGGATCTCCTGCTTGCTCTCTGATATCAACAAATGATTGGCTGATTGAAATATTTCTATCCTACTCTATATCAAAAGATGTCAGGTCAGCATACAGGTAAAATCAATATTAACAGGTTAAACATTTTAGAGCAATAATTTAAATACACTAAAATATATATTAACACATTAAAGCTGTAGAAGACTACAATGGATTTAATAATGCTGTGCATAGCATTTGAAGTAAATCAGCAAGATCCTCCAAAAATAGTTGATTGATCTCCAGTTTGGTAATTATGATGCTGTATGCCTGACTCAAAACACTGTAATTATTCCAATTCTCATTTATGTTACATCACCAAAAGTGTTCCAAAATTCCTACTGTATATACTCATGTATAAGTCTACAGCATGTGTAAGTGCGAGGCTAGATTTTGGGTCAAAAGTATGAATTTTGTTGTGACCTATGGATAAGTCAAGGATTATTCTGCAGAGAGGAAAGAGCATTAATGGTACCCAAGAGGCTGTCCCTGGCTGCCATCACCTTTTCTCCACCCATGCATTCAAAAAGTCCAAAAGCGGTACCGCAGATGAGGCAATAAAGGGGCTCAGTGCTCATTTTATGTTTTTTCAGGAAGGTGCATTTTGCCACCGTACTCAAAGAAAGGAACAGTTCCTTTGTTGAATAAGAGTTAAAGTACAATATTTTTCTCCTCTTTCCTCCCTTCCTTCTCCTTTTCCCTCCCCCTCACCGAATATCACTGTATATATTTACAAAACTCAATAAAATTTATTTTTAAGAAAAGAGTTAAAGTACAATACTCACACTGACATGTGAATAAGTTTTTTGGGTTGGTTTTTAAACTAAACTTTCTAGACTTATGTTTGTTGTTGTTTATTTGTTCACTCATTTCTGACTCTTCGTGACCTCCTGGACCAGCCCACGCCAGAGCTCCCTGTCAGCCTTGGTCACCCCCAGTCACTACAAGTATCCCATCCATCCATCTTGCCCTTGGTCGGCCCCTCTTCCTTTTTCCTTCAATTTTCCCTAGCATCATTGTTTTCTCCAAGCTTTCCTGTCTTTTCAAAGTACTTCATCTTTGCCTCTAATATCTTTCCCTCCAATGACCAGTTGGGCTTTATTTCCTGGAGTATGGACTGCTTTGATCTTCTTGTGGTCCAAAGTACTCTCAGAATTTCCCCCCAACATTATGGTTCAAAAGTGTCTACCTTCCTTTGCTCAGCCTTCCTTATTAAGGTCCAGCTTTCACATCCATAGGTCACTATGGGGAATACCATTGCTTTAACTCTGCGGACCTTCGTGGCCAGTGTGATGTCTCTACTCTTAACTATTTTATCGAGATTGGTCATTGCTCTCCTCCCAAGAAGTAAATGTCTTCTGATTAGACTTATACGTGGATATATATTTGATGCTTTTAAAGCCTCTCCACTTTTCCCAAAACAGCCATTTCTGGAGTTCTGGACATCAGGGTAATGAGCAATGACTGGTCCAGACCTACAATGGCCATGTTAAGAGAGACTGCTATGATAGGATCACAAAAGGATCTGCCAGGAGTCTCTATAGCTGTCTGTCTCAGTTCCTTGTGAAAAAGAAAACACACATCTACTGTTTTTAAAAGAAAAATCCAGGTACTGAATTTAAGGAAGCCCAAGAACAGAAAGAAAGGAAAACTGGAAAGGGCAAGAGTCTGTTCTTCCTCCCCCTTCAGCTGAATTAACTGGATACAAACTACTTTTTCTCATTTTGTACACAGTTTGCAGCAGTAGAGGTAAGTGGGTGGAAAAGGTGGAAAATGGAAGGAAGGTACAGACTATTAGACATACTAAAAGTTGCTGAGAAAGTAGGAAAAGCTGTTATGTTCTAGCTTGATGCTATAACTTTGACAATCAGGGTTTGAATCCTCACTCACCCTTGGAAACCCACTGAGTGATCTTAAGCAACCCACACAGAGGGAGGCAAAGGCAATCCTCCTTTGAACAAATCTTGCTAGGAAAATCTACAAGTTGAAGGCACACAGCAACAGTAATAGAGAATTAACCAGAATTAACACTCCTTGAATGGCTGAAGAAGAAAAGGAATGAGCCTAAGATTGTTAGGAATTGTGGAAGCTGAAGTCCAAAACACCTGGAGGGCCCAAGTTTGCCCATGCCTGGGTTATATGTTCTTTTGTAGTGGAAGAAAGGTAGAGATGCATAAATGCGTATGCATGTTTTCAAGTCACCTGTCACTAATGGTGATCCCATGAACTTCATAAGGTTTTCTTAAGCAAGGAATACTGAAGTTTTTTTTTTTTACCATCCTTCCTCTGAAATACAACCTACAACATCTGGTATTTTTTGGCAGTCTTACATCCAAGTGCCAACCAAGGCCAATTCTGTATTGCTTTCCAAGATCATACAGGATCTGGTACCTTTATGGTGTCAACGCCCCAAAAATGCAGACCCATTTTTATCCTTACTTGGCTCAACTTGTGAAAGAACTATGATTTTCTCTCTCTTCTATTCCTAATACAGGTATCTGCTCTACTGTAGCGGGAAGAATGGCGACAGTTCACCAGCCCTGAGTCGCCTTTACCTTGTTGTCCTTTGTATACTGCTGGGTGCGACAACCACTCTCTCACACAGGTGGAAACTGCTTGGCTCTCTAACAAGTAGCCTCTCATGTTAAAACGAGTCATGGGCAGCATCCGGATAAACAGGTGAGAGAACCCCAGTAGCTTTCCTAGTTCTCTGTCTGGATTCTGACTTGAGAGACTGGGATGGAACCCATTTGGACTTCAAATAGTGCACATGCTTTCACTCTTTCTCACCATAATCCATTAAAATTGACCTTTCCGAGTATTTATGTTGGTGACTCACTTTTTCGACATGTATTATTTCGTGATATAGTAATTCAGTTTTACTAGCAAACCGGAGATTAATCCTACCTCTTATAAGACATGGTCACATACATAAATTCTAATTACAAAATATATGGGGATACAATAAATATCATGATAATCTTTTTTTTGTGTATCAGGAGTGACTTGAGAAACTGCAAGTTGCTTCTGGTGTGAGAGAATTGGCCATCTGCAAGGAAGTTGCCCAGGTGACGCCTGGATGTTTTACCACCCTGTGGGAGGCTCCTCTAATGTCCCCAGATGAGAAGCTGGAGCTGACAGATGGGAGCTCACCCACTCCCCAGATTCAAACTGCTGACCTTTTGATCAGCAGCCCTGCCGGCACAATGGTTTAACTCATTGCACCACAAGAGGCTCCTTTTTGTAAGATAATAACATATAGTTTCAAGGTTTTTGTCATTTCTCATTACGTTCACATCTACACACTATAGACAACACATTAACATGTCACGACACATAGCTCTGTATTAAAATATTTCTAATCAGTATTGCTTACATACACATTTTATGAGAAAATGATGGTGTCACACAAAACTTTCCATGGTGAATCTGCAGCTGGAGCAACTCCCTTCTGGTTAGGAGACAGAGAGGGTGGCATGTATTTTGAAGCTCTTGGAGAGAGGAGTTTATTTGAGGGTATCTGCCAACCTTTTGTCTCTTGATCTCTAAATTACATGTTTGGCTTCAGATAGAAGATTCTGGGAAACATGTTTGTTGCTGTGGCAACAGATTTATCTCGAATTCTGGAAATTTATAAACATTGTCACAGATGCACAATTAAATCAACAATGGTGAGCAGAGCAGAAAATAGAGTCTTTCAGGTTTGTGCAGTTCAGAATGAAAAAGTTACAAAAGCACTGTCTCAGAGACCCTCCGCTACTATGCTGCTGGTGCTTACTTTCTCCTCTCTAGTCAAGACTTGGAGGCCATTGTAATTGTTGAAGTAGTGGCTTTCCTTGTTGGAGAATGGTATATGTCAAATAAATAGTGGTGCCTTGAGAGTGCTGGGTAGCCAGAGGTGGAAAATCTGTGGCTCTCCAAATCTGGTGGGATTTAGCCACAACAAATCACAGTGAGCATGGCTAGTGGTGAGGATGATGAGAGCTGTAGTTCAACAACATTTAGAGCAGCCGTCTCAACCTGTGGGTCCTCAGATGTTTTGGCCAAGTCCCAGGAATCCTAACAGTTGGTAAACTAGCTGGGATTTCTGGGAGTTGTAGGCCAAAACACCTGGGGACCCACAGCTTGAGAACCACTGATTTAGAAGTATACAGATTCCTAAGCTCTGTGCTAGATGGACATTTCCATCACATTACTTTCAATAGATTCAAAGGCGGAGTATTGAATTTTGATTTGGACAAGAAAAGGATGGCCCAAATGAATAGGTGGTAAATACACATGTGGGGGTTGAGTGCTTTCATTCCTCACTTTGTGCAGTGCCTTCAAGTTACCTTTACATTTATGTCAATCTCATGAATTTCACTGGAGTTTTTAGGCAAAAAATACACAGTTGTGATTAGCCATTGGCCTTTCTGAACATCTAATAAGAAGTAAAGGTTTCCCCTTGACATTAAGTCTAGTCATGTCCGACTGGGGAATGGTACTTATCTCAATTTCTAAGTCGTCCGTAGACACCTCCAAAGTCATGTGGCCAGAATGACTGCATGGACCACCATTACCTTCCCGCAGAAGTGGTACCTATTGATCTACTCACATTTGTATGTTTTCAAACTACTAGGTTGGCAGAAGCAGGGCCTAACAATGGGAGCTCACCCTGCTCCCCGGATTCGAACTATCAAACTTTTGGTCAGCAAGTTCAGCAGCACAGCGGTTTAACCTGCTGTGCCACCCGGGGGCCCTAGATCTAATACTTTCAGGGTATTTACATCTTGTTTCATTCTAATTTCTACATAAATATTTTTACTTCTTTATTTATATTCTATTTTCCCCCACACCAAATAATCTGAAAAATGCAAAAAATAGAATATTAAAGAATAGAACATTACTTTAATTGCATGTATTTTTAAACTCAGTGATTGACCTTACTAAAGCTTTGTTGAATAAAGAAATGTCAGTGTTGTGCATTTGTCTTGGTGACCCTGGATTCACCGTGTTCTCTGCCATTCTTTTTTTTTTTTTGAAGCAAAATGTGAGCAATATATGAAATGATCCAACATAGATCCAGTGATTCTGTGGTAGGGAAGGTGAAGCAGTGAACTGAAAGCTCAAAAAGTTAATATTAAAATGCAATTAGTTACAGCTACCATTTTAAGACCTTTCAAAGGTAATTAGTTAATATTATAGTTGTGATTTTAAAGAGTAAATTGAGGCCTTTTAATCACTTAAAAATGCAGTTGCTGGCTAAAACATACTCGGGAACTATAAAAATAACATTAAAATCACACTTACCACTGTAAAAGGTAATGTTTATATTTTGTTTGTATCTTAGTTATTGCACAAAGGAATTCATTATAAGTAACATTGTTTGAAACTAGTTATTTCCAAACCCAGGCCATTGGGGAAATAGATTTTTTAAAAGGAGACACCGATGCCTTTCCTCCATGTTTAACTATAATCTCTTTCTCCCCCACTCATAAGGTACAGTATTGTCTCCACTGAAGAGGATAGGCACAAAGTTGCTTCCCTCGGAAAAATCAATGGTCACAGCCGGAATGGGAAAAGCCATGCCCCACGACGGAAACGCCGCAACCGCTTTGTTAAAAAGAATGGCCAGTGCAACGTCTACTTTGCCAACTTAAGCAACAAGTCTCAGCGTTACATGGCTGATATCTTCACGACGTGTGTGGACACCCGTTGGCGCTACATGTTCATGATCTTTTCAGCAACCTTCTTGGTTTCCTGGCTGTTTTTTGGCCTCCTCTTCTGGATCATTGCTTTCTTTCATGGTGACCTCGATGCCCCTAGTGTAGGAAATGATCCTTCCACAACAAAACTCTGCATCAAGCATGTCAGTGGCTTCTCTGGAGCTTTCCTCTTTTCAGTTGAAACACAGACCACCATTGGCTATGGTTTCCGATATGTGACTGAGGAGTGCCCGCTAGCCATCATGGTGGTAGTGGTCCAATCTATTGTGGGTTGCGTTATTGACTCTTTCATGATTGGCACCATCATGGCTAAGATGGCCCGTCCTAAGAAAAGGGCCCAGACCCTCCTTTTTAGCCATCATGCTGTTATCTCTCTACGGGATGGCAAACTCTGCCTCATGTGGCGGGTCGGAAATTTGAGGAGGAGCCATATTGTAGAAGCTCATGTTCGGGCTCAGCTTATCAAGCCCTACATGACAGCAGAAGGTGAATATGTTCCACTGGACCAGCGGGATCTGAACGTGGGCTATGACATAGGCCTGGACCGCATCTTCTTAGTGTCTCCAATCATTATTATTCATGAGATTGACGAAGAAAGTCCACTCTATGCAATGGGTAAAGAAGATCTGGAGAGGGAGGACTTTGAGATCGTTGTCATCCTTGAGGGCATGGTGGAAGCTACAGCGATGACCACCCAGGCCCGCAGTTCCTACCTGGCCAGTGAGATCCTTTGGGGACACCGTTTTGAACCTGTTGTCTTTGAGGATAAGAAGCGCTATAAGGTGGACTATTCACGTTTCCACAAGACCTATGAAGTGGCTGGAACCCCTTGCTGCTCTGCTCGGGAATTGCAGGAAAGTAAGATTACCATCCTGCCTTCTCCACCACCACCGCCCAGTGCCTTCTGCTATGAGAATGAGTTGGCTCTTGCCAGCCAGGATGAAGAGGAGGACGAGGACTTGCATGTAAGGGCAGATTTGGGTGGAGGAACTAAGGAGGAGGAGGGAGTCATACCCATGATGGAGTTTGGAGGCCACATGGATCTTGATCGCTTGCAGGTCTCCATTCCCCTAGACACACTCTCATACCATAGGGAATCGGCCATTTAATATCCCAACCTGGTTTTCTACCCCAAACATTTTCTCCTATGTTTCCTTATCCAAAACACTAGTCTTTTACCAACTGTTGGAAAACTGACCGCACATAGACATGCGAGCTCCTTTGGTGCTGGATGTGTTGGGTTCCTTTCCATGAAGTTAGACATTGGTTTTTAAAGATCCTGAACTCAGAAGATCCTCATTTTCCCACTCCTGCTTGTCTGTGGCCTAGAACTGGAAGACTATAATAGTTGCATCAACCAAAGGTGGTAATGGGACATATTTCAAACTATCAAAAGGACCAATTGTTGATATTATTGCTGCAAAAAAGTCAGTGGATTGGAGAATCTGTTCATTCAAGTGAAGGATGGGGGAAGATAATTTCCATGTGTTTTTCTTATTTTCAGTGAAGAACTTTATCTTCCACTGTTCTTGCACATGGACACCATCTCTGTCTCATTCGGGTTTTTGGTATACATGACTCTCAACTATGTTAACACCTATTTTTTCTTTGATCCTATGAAATTCTGGTCCCTTCCCACTGGGATGCAACTGAAGCCAATTAGAAATGTTTGCCAGAGGAAAGAGCTACAGTGGGGCCAATATGTGAACAATCTGTACATTATTTCTCCTAAGAATAATATCTGTATGCTTCCCAAGTTCTCACCATTTAATTTATCCCTTATTTGATATTGATATTGGAACTATTTATTTTTAAATAAAATATAATGATCTAAGGCAGTGTTTCTCAACCTTCCTAATGCCACAACCTCTTAATACAGTTCCTCAAGTTGTGGTAACCCCCAGCCATAATTATTGGTGCTACATCATAACTGTAATTTTGCTACTGTTATGAATTGTAATATAAATATCTGATATGCAGGGTGTATTTTCATTCACTGGACCAAATTTGGCACAAATACCTAATATGCCCAAATTTGAATACTGGTGGGATTTGGGGGAGGGGGTTGATTTTGTCATTTGGGAGTTGTAGTTGCTGGGATGTATAGTTCACCTACAATCAAAGAGCATTCTGAACCCCACCAATGATAGAATTGGGTCAAACTTCCTACACAGAACCCCCATGCCTTAAAGCAGTGGTTCTCAACCTGTGGGTCCCCAGATGTTTTGGCCTTCAACTCCCAGAAATCCTAACAGCTGGTGTACTGGCCGGGATTTCTGGGAGTTGTAGGCCAAAACACCTGGGGACCCATAGGTTGAGAACCACTGCCTTAAAGGGACTTGCTGGTGCGAGCCTCCCTCCAGCCTTGCACTCTCTCCCTCACCTGCACTTGCGCACCAGGCTGCCGTGCACCGAGCACGCCTGCCCTCCCCTTGGTCGAGAGGCTGGCCAATCAAAGTGGAAGAGGACTTTTGGTGGGAGGATTCATCGTCTGTTTCCAAAAAGGAAGATAAAGACAGGTGGAGAGATGTATGTTTTCTGATGGTCTTGGGCGACCCCTCTGAAACCCCCTCGCGACGCCCCCTCAGGGGTCCTGACCTCAAGGTTGAGAAGTACTGCTCTAAGGTAAGCCTGGAGACAAGAGCAGGGGATCTAATTTGAATATAAGGGACCATGATTATTATTGTTTGATGATAAGTATACCATATTTAAAGATAAATATACCATATTTAAATAAGTACAGACAGCTCCTGAGTTACAAACATCTGACTTACAAATGACTCATAGTGAAATCCAGTCCTGGAAGAGTATTCATGGGAAAATGGTGTCTTCATGGAAGCTTTATCTTCAATCCTTGTTTCCACAACAAGTTGATTTTTCCTAAAATCTAATTATCACAGGGACAGAAAGTTAGGTGAAATCTTCTGCACAGAAAGCAAAACAAACACCATGGGCTTGTTAACCCTTCCCTATGCTATCCAAAGCTTTATAAAATGTCTGGAGTTACACTTGAAAAATGTACCTGTTCTGACTTACAAACCAATTCAACTTAAGAACAAACCTACAGAGCCTACCTTGTTTGTGACTTGGGGACTACCTGTATTCCACAGACCTAAACTCCACATTGTCAGGATCCGATCCCATATTATCTGCTTAACCCAGATATGACAGTGGAGATTCATATAATTCAATTCAAAGCAGATAACCTTGGATCAGTCCTTGGATATAAGGACAATGTAGAAGGGGCCTAAGTCCTCCAATGTGACTTTATGGTCAATTTCCACCAGAGGTTGACCAAAGAATCATACTGGAGGACCTACAAGTGCCTAAAGAAGTGCTGCCTCTAGGAATCTCTAGGTCCTCTAATGGAACTCAATGGTCAGCTTTCACCTGAGAATCTAAATTGCTTATTGTTTCAGGAATTTCACAAATACAGATCCAAACTATCTCAAAGCTTGCAGAAGTGACAAGGGACTGTATCAGAGTGTTGTCGGAGGCTTTCATGGCCAGAATCAATAGGTTGCTCTGAGTTTTCCAGGCTGTATGGCTATGTTCCTGAAGCATTCTCTCCTGACGTTTCTCCCACATCTATGGCAGGCATCCTCAGAAGCTGTGATGATACCTGCCATAGATGTGGGCGAAACGTCAGGACTGTATCAGAGTTAAAACAGGAGTGAGGAAAAGGGTGGACCTCTGGATATGGATGGACTACAACTCTCATTCACCCTAACCAGTGTAGTAATTTGTGGTATGATGGGAACTTCAATCCAGCAAAGTCAAAATGATCATGCACTCCTCTTTCAAGGTGTTACAGGCCTAAATGTCCTAAAAGTACCAGCTCCTATGTAACTTTGAAGCCAAGTAGGATCAGCGATGGTTATTAACTCAACAAGATTCCTCCAATATGAGGTGCTTTAGGCTATAATTCAGAGGCTGAAATGGGAAAAATAACTTCTGAGTATTTCTTGCCTAAGACAACCCTATGACATTCATGGGGCCGTCATAAGTAAACAAATGTCCTGAAGGCACATTCACACGTACATGTGCGCAGACGCATGCACTGATATGGATTCCTCATTGCTTGCCTGACACACACAGCCTCACATGTTGGCTGTTGGTCCATCTATGTGCCCGAACCTCCACCTCTCACAATCTTTCTTCCTCGGTGGTAATTAATGACATCTTTTCTCTCAGGGCATGAATGAGGGCTAGTATTGACCTGGCTTTTAATATAGCTTTCAGAGGCCGGCACTTGTCTTTAGGGCATTTGCTAATGGACCCAAGAGGAAGGGCTCTACGCATGAGGACGAAAGAATCCAGTACCCACATTCCCCACACCAGAGCCCAGGAAACTCATCATTATCATCATCATCATCATCACTTAATTTCTTAATTAGTTGCTCTCCACCAAAGTGCTCTCCACCAAAACTCTACTTGTATCATGCTGGTAGAGAGAGTTCTGGGAGATGTAGTCAAAACATCCACTTTCCAAAGCTCTGAAAAAAGAGTTACACAACTCCAGCTTGTTGTTTTTTTTAATGATAGTCTGGAGACAGGATGGTCTCATCTAATTGATTTTGACACCCTCTTATTCCAAATGCATACTTCCCTATCAAGTGGAAAATTCGTGTTTTCATTTGGTTGCAGCCAGTTCAAGCATGAGAAAATCAATATTCTATGAATCAGCGGGATAGATACAGCCTGAATATTGGTTATAAGTTGAATTTCTCGCCACTAATCAATATATGTAAACAAAGAAAAACAAGTGCTGTTTACAGGGATAGAATTATTGTTGGGTGCATGTGTGAAATTTTTACTTGTACTATACGAGTCTTTGAAAACTCCTGTCTTATACTTATCTGACCCTCTGAAATGACAGTTTTGTCAGTGGAAAAGCTATCCAACAACCTTATGAAGAGTCAGGTAATGGAGACTCATCCGTAAGACCAATCTTTGTAATTTTAGATCTTTACTACGCTAAATTAGTGGTAAATCTGCACAGATTTGCTGCAATAGATGAAAAAACTGGCTAAAAAGGTCCCCCTTTATCCTGATTTCGGCTAGAAAATGAACAGATTCACATTAAATGCACAGATTCACATTAAATGCACAGATTCACATTACTGTATATCCCTGCACTCGCAAAAACATGTGATTTCCCCCCCCCCCATGGAGAGTGCTCCAACACATGTCCACTTTTTAAAAGCCTGAAACAGCTGATTGGGCTGTGGAACAGACACACAGCTGGTTTGAAGGAAGCACAAATGGAGAGCACTTAGAACTCTGTCTTTATTTTAAACTTTATAATATTAAACAGAGCTTGAATAAACAATTGGGTGAAGACAGAAATTTTGCAGAATTCTTTTTAAAATCCCTCAGTTATATGCTGAAGCTCATATGCACATTTTTGAGTGTGTGTGTCAGGAACGACTTGAGAAACTGCAAGTCGCTTCTGATACCAGAGAATTGTCCGCCTGCAAGGACATTGTCCAGGGGACACCCAGATGTTTTTAGTGTTTTACCATCCTTATAGGAGGCTTCTCTCATGTCCCCGCATGGGGAGCTGGAGCTGACAGAGGAAGCTCCACCCGTTTCCCCCAAATTCAAACTATTGACCTGTCAGTCAGTGGCCCTGCTGGCACAACAGTTTAACCCATTGCACCACCGGGGGCTCCTATATGTGCAAATGCAAATCTGCTTGTGTTTGTATTACAATAATTGCATGTGCACATATATGGTCTAGCACATCTTGTTTCAATACAGAGGACGTCTGTGAGGACGGCAGGGGAAGAAATTCTAGGACCCGTAAGTCTGTGTGTGGACATGTTCTCAGGTCCCAGGATTTTTTGTCCTCCATTTAAAACTTGCATTTTTGTGCTGTCTGGAAGTACCCTCAGTGTTTTGAAGCAGGCTGCAGCCAGCCTGCTTCAAAATAGTTACATTACACAAGGTGGCACAAGGTAGAGAAATATGATTAATATTGTGGGAAGAACTTACCGTATGTTGCTCTAAACTAGCCATAGATGGTTATGTTAAGTTGTATTTTAGAAGCTGACTGTGAAAAAAAAACAAACAAAAACCTTGACTGGAGTATAAAGTTGTCAAATAATGTATTTATTACCTTCTCTTAACAATGGGATTTCAGTCTCACTAATTAATGCAAATTAATGCAATTTAAGCTTATGTTTATCTTTACAATCACAAAAAGCACACTGAACATGCTATGACAAACAGATGTCTTTCAGCACTTGATAGAGCATCATTTCTTTTTTTAAAAAAAATGCATAGTAAACATTTTAGTTAAGTTAGCTGCTTGAGCCTGAACATATGTAAACTTGGAGAATGATTAAACCACGCTCGCCAGGTCTAATTTTTTAATCTGCTCTGTTTTACTTTACAAAAAGCCAGCCCAACTCAATCTTGCCATCGCTAGTAGCCAAGTGGCTGGCTGTGCAGATTAGGATTGGAAGAAGGGAAGGTAATAGACCGCATTCGTGACAACAGCAATAATAAGAAGACGAGGTTGCTCCACTTAGAGAGTGTGATCCACTAATAACATCTAAGGAAAATGTGTGTGTGCCTGTACACTACATAGACTACAGTTTCCAGAGTCCAACATGGTCAGAGGTAACCACAACAACTAACCTCTATATTCTGAATTCTTGTTCAAATATCCTCCCAAAACATCACTACAATAATAACAAAGGGTGAAATTTTATTATTGTTTTCTGAGTCTGATATCTAATTGTTACTACGGTAGTGCTATGCTGGGATGTTATAACCCTTTCCAAATGACATTTGAAGTTCCATGTAGTCAAAGTTTCTCA